ACACCCCAAATATTGCCCCAAATACACACAAAATACACCCGAAATATCCCCAAAATACACCCAAAATATCCCCAAAATACACCCGAAACACACCCGAAACACACCCGAAATACACCCGAAATACACCCGAAATACACCCGAAATATCCCCAAAATACACCCAAAATATCACACGAAATACACCCGAAATACACCCAAAATACACCCAAAATATCACACAAAATACACCCGAAATATCCCCAAAATACACCCCAAATACACCCCAAATACTGCCCCAAATACACCCGAAATATCGCCCCAAATACACCCAAAATACACCCCAAATATTACACAAAATACACCCGAAATATCACCCCAAATACACCCCAAATATCACACAAAATACACCCGAAATATCCCCAAAATACACCCGAAATACACCCGAAATACACCCGAAATGCACCCAAAATATCACACAAAATACACCCAAAATATCGCCCCAAATATCCCCAAAATATCAGCCAAAATCACCCAAAATACACCCAAAATATTGCACAAAATACACCCAAAATACACACAAAATATCAGCCAAAATACACCCAAAATACACCTGAAATCACCCGAGATTTCACACAAAATATCCCCAAAATATCGCCCGAAATCACACAAAATATCCCCAAAATTTCAGCCAAAATCACCCAAAATACACACAAAATCTCCCCAATATAGCCCCAAATTCCCAAATCCCGAATTCCCAAACCCCAATTCCCAAAATTCCCAAATCCCCAATCCCCAAACCCCAAATCCCGAATTCCCAAATCCCCAATTCCCAAATCCCCAATTCCCAAACCCCCAATTCCCAAACCCCCAAATTCCCAAATCCCAAATCCCCAATTCCCAAATCCCCAATTCCCAATTCCCAAATCCCAAACCCCAAATCCCAAATCCCAAACCCCAAATCCCCAATCCCCAAATCCCAAATCCCCAATTCCCAAATCCCAAATCCCAAACCCCAAATCCCAAATTCCCAATTCCCAAATCCCCAAATCCCAAATCCCCAAATCCCCAAATCCCCAATCCCCAATTCCCAATTCCCAAATCCCCAAACCCCAAATTCCCAAATCCCCAAATCCCAATTCCCCAATCCCCAAACCCCAATCCCCAAATCCCAATTCCCAATTCCCAAATCCCAAACCCCAAATCCCAAATTCCCAATTCCCAAATCCTGAATTCCCAATTCCCAAATCCCAAATCCCCAAATCCCCAAATCCCCAATTCCCAAATCCCCAATCCCCAAATTCCCAATTCCCAAATCCCCAAATCCCAAATCCCAATTCCCGAATCCCCAATTCCCAATCCCCAAATCCCAATCCCCAATCCCCAATTCCCAAATTCCCAATCCCCAATTCCCAATCCCCAATTCCCAAATTCCCAATCCCGAATTCCCGAATTTCCCGCAGGGTTTGGACTCCGGCTCCCGGCCCCGGCGGCGCCGCGGGGGGAGGGACCCGGAACGGCACGAGAGGCTCAGGGTGGGGAGGCGGAAGAGCCGGGGGAATTTGGGGAAATTTGGGAAATTTGGGGGAAATTTGGGGGATTTGGGGAATTTGGGGAATTTGGGGG